TTTTCAGCTTTAACTCCATTCGACCACAAAACGAAAGTGAAAAAAAAAATAAAAAGATTACCGATTCTTTATTTCAAGACGAAGAAGATGAAGAATCAGTACGGCCTAAAAAATACAAGTTTGTCATACAAAAGAGAGAGAATTCGTACTCCTCTTCATAAAAAACACGACGACATACACAAGGTTGGACAACTTCGCACCCACGAACGCACACACTGTGAAACAGAAAACCCTATGTCTGCCGCCGAAAACGACTAATACTCTCTCTCTCTCTCTCTCTCTCTCTCTCTCTCTCTCTCTCTCTCTCTCTCTCTCTCTTTGTGCCACGTGTATCAATGCTGAAGCCATCCCCGAAAAAAAAAGCAAGTCGCGTTGTGCCACGTGCCGTCGACAACTAAGAAGACGAACGACGTGCAGGCAGCGGAGGAAACTTCTTCGGTATCACGAAATTCTGCATCTCCTTGTCCCAGTCGTCCCAAAAGGAGGCAGGGAGTTGGAGAAGTTCATTCGTCATTCTCAAGCGATCCATCTCGCTCTCCATCTGCGACATACGGCCAGAAACCTCCTGACAGGTTGGGCACACCACACCGCATTCCACCGTCGTGGTTGGACTAACTATTCCACCTGTGTGTTGTGGATATAGAGGGGCCTTGCCCTTATCTGTCAATGACAGATCGCCAAAAGCAGACGACAAATTGTGTTCCTCGGAAGCTGGCGGTGACCCTATGTTCACAACATCTCCGAAGAATTGCCACGCCGTGTCCTCTTGCTCCCGCGCTACCTGCACGTCGATCTCGGCGGCCTCCAACCTCTTCCTCACGTCATCCCTCTCGCGGATCGCGTCATCTCTCTCTCGCGAATCGCATTCCTCAAGGCTTGCTGACCTGCGTCATGTTGCATGCGGCTGTCCTCCCATATCCTCCGCCATCGCTCAAGCTCGCGTCTCATCCGCATAGCTTGCACAACAAGCTGATCGCAGCAATGCATAAGCCTCGCCCGTGCAGCTTTTAGTCTTTCGACAACCGAAGTTGCCCACCTCCTCGCATGTATGTTCTGTTGTGTGACCTGCGTCTCGCATTCCTCTCTCCCGTGCACAACGCGCACACTGATACTGTCACCTCTCGCCACCAAAAAACTATGGAGCAATGTCACCTCTCGCTCCGTCCTCTCCAACTCTTCTCCCACACGTACCCTCTTTCACCATCGCCATTTGCCATGACTGGTCGCCCGTGACTTTGGTTTATGGAGAAACACGACAATACACCAACGTCAATCTCCGATGACAGACGTACACTGAACAACTAGATGAAGGCGTCGGATTGGCGTCACTGCCAGCGGAGATCATACAAGCGCACCACCTCCGCACACAACGCGTCTCTCATGGCCTGCCCGCGTTCACGACCAAACATGCAGTCAAGGGGGTGACCGTCACCTTGCCTATCGACCTCGGGAGGTGGCACAGGTGGAGAACAACCATCAGAGTCGTCGCTGTCCTGTTCGGGAACATCACCCCACGGCTGCAGCAGATTGTGCAGAATGCAACATGCGTGGAACTCCAACCCTTCTCTTTTGATGTCCGCGACATGTGGACGATAGAAAAACTGGAAACGCGTTTTAAAAACCCCAAAAAAATGCTCTACACATGATTGGACAATCTTGTGCAGTGAATCGAAGACCTGCATGTTTCGCGTGACATTGCCCTGCTGCCCGTACGGTGTCATGAGCCACGGGATACTGGGGTAACCTCCGTCCCCAAGCAAGTACCAACCAGGCACACCGGGGATGACTGGCCTCTCGGCACGGAAAGGGTCACCCTCTTCATCCAAGAACAGTGTGCCCTTCAGCGCTCTGCGGTACAACGACGTGTGCTTCAGCACACGAGCATTGCCAACAGTGCCCGGAAAGCCGTAACGGAAGTCCAGGATTTTGAGGTCGTAGTCCACAACCACCTGTGCCACGACAGAGAACCGCTTGTTTCGGCCAGAACAATAATCATCGCCGTCGCGTGCGCGGGGCTTGTCCATATACACATGAGTGCAGTCTATGCACCCCCAGCAATTCGGGAAACCCTCCTGAGCGAACACGTTCATGCGGGCATGACGTTCCTCGTGCCCCCCAAACCCAATAACATGAGGGTAAGATGCGATGATCGCCTCCGCAACCTCTCGCACAGCATGCAGGCCACTGGTTTTGCCGAGTCCATAACCTGAACAACTGTGCCTATGTGCGTCGTCATGAGCCCACCTGTGGAGAGCGTACGCGAGCTTCTTGGCCGCCGGGAGAGGCAGCCGGAATCTTGTCACTTGTTTCTCCAGCGACGGACCAACCCTCCGCAAAAGCCGATCGAATGTCGACCGTCGCATTTGGAGAAGGCTTATGTAATGGTCGCTCTGCGCATCGTCAACAGGAAGGAGATCCTTCCATAGACCTCCACTCCGACGCATTACCCACCATCTAGGCGAGGCACGAGGGAACAAGTCTAGCAGGTCGACAATTGCTGGCCACAACCACAACAGACTGTGCCTGCCTGTTCTGTCGTCATCTTCATCTTCCAACACTGATGGCGGACCAGCATCAGCACCGTGGTTTGCAGAGAGCAGAAGTTTTGGGGGAGGGCCCATGATAACGTCCATCATGTGAAAAGCATCCTCTGCCATTTTGCCGGCTATGGCCATGACAGCCACAGCAAGTTGTTCAACATCCCGCCTTCTCAACCTAGGCATTTGACCCGCACAGTTTCTTTTTCCTGTACGTTAACCCCAAAATATGCCCTCTCCACAACCCCCCCCCCCCCCCCCCCCGCCCCCTCTCGACTCGAATGAACCTATTCGTACCGCGCGCCAATGGAGGCGGGAGCATAGGCCGCCCTCAAGCAACTTTCGCGCTCGACCCAAGCGAACACGTAATGGCACCAACTTATCGAAAACAGCAGTGCTATACGGCATGGCCGAAATGGACCCGACGCCAGCCACGGGCAAGCGACAGGAAAAGTCCCTGTTTCCACGTTCCACAGAACGTGCAAGGACACTTTGTTCAACAACGTTCAGCCGATACAGCCCGGCCACCACACATATGTGAAGCAGTGTGAGCAGAAGCGAGCGTCGGGATTGCAGGCTTCCTTCAAAAGTCGGGGATCCTGACAGGCTTGCGCCAAAAAGTTGTGAAAAAAAGAAAACCCGTTGATTTTCTTTTTCGATTAAAATAACTAATATAAAACTCAAAAAAAATCCGAAAAGGACGTCACACATCGTAATATACTTGGCTAGTGGGTCAAGGCCCCAGCACATGCTGCTCCCCACGAATTGATTGTTAAAAAAAAAAAAAAAAAGGGAGCCACCAGGTGCTCTATCCGGCGACATTTAGCAGCTTACAGTTGAAGGCTACGGCACGAAGAACAGTGACCCGCAGGCAGAGTCCTGCAGGCTGGAGCTCCCGAACAAAATAAGTGGAAACGGAAAAGGCCTAGTGGACTGAAAGAGGTCCACATTCATTCCCTGCCTTTCTTCCCTCTTCTGATGTTTTGAGGACTGGACGTTTTGTTTTGTTTTGTTTATTTATTTATATATATATATTTTTTTCTTCAGAAACGGAACTAGGCACCCATGCCTCTCACGTATCGCAACTGCGGCTTTCGAGAGCCAATTTTGTCTGCGTGCCCGCTACGGACAAGTGGGTCCCGCGGTGTTTTCCGTGGTGCGTACTTGCACCTTTATTTTCCTAGGTACCTCTTTTATTTTATTTTATGTTTATGCTTAGGACGTACGGTTTCCAGACGAATGGTGCTTCGGCCGAACAGTATGGGAACTTCCATGAGGATAACTATACGAGAGGCAAGGCACACGGCCCCTTTTTCGACAGAAACGCTCTCATGTGTACCTTCCTGATGATTCCGTGCAAACGGATGAAACCAGTAGAAGGGTTGCATTGTCCTTGCATGGGGAGACTCCTGGCTATGGTGGCACAAAAAGATAGTTGCATGTCTTGAGGAGACTTTTGGTGTCCGGAACTTTAATGGTTGAATTTGGTCCGGTTCCCAGCACGTGTTGCTCCCCACGAATAGATTGGAGCTATTTGTCCCCCCCCCAAAAAAAAAAAAAAAAAAAAGGTTGAATTTGCTTCGGCTAGTTTGTTCAAAGCTGGGGACTTCGAGTCTAAGTTTGCATCCTTTCTGTCTTCACGTGTTGCTGTGCCCTCTCCGCCAGACTGTTGCCACAGTTTGCCACTCTCGAGAACAGAGTAACCAGAGTTTCTAGGCCAGCAGCACTAGCACTGGAAGGGGTGCTTGTCCAAAAAGGAAAAAAAAAAAAAAAAAAAAAAAAAAAAAAAAAAAAAAACAAAACAGGTTTGACGGTGGCTGTGCTATACCACCTCTTCGGTGGATGTCACGACCAACCTGCAGAAACAAAGTGGATAGTCGAGAAGAGTAAGTATTAGCAAGTGTGGTGAAGTTTTGGACGTATTGATCGTTCTGGAGTAAGGGAGTGGATAGCCGAAAAGAGATAAGTAGCAGTGATTGGATAGGAAAAGCACAGTAGCGCAAGTAGCCAATCCAATCAAGATGCAGACAGCGGGGTCTGACTGACGCAAGGCACACATAAGTGCACCGTAAGACCTGTTCCACGGACCATGACTCAAAACAGAGGACAACAGTGAGAGGAGGAAGAAGAAGAGAGGGAGATTAGAGACAAAGTCAAGAGGACACTTTGATAGACAATGACACAAAGCAAAGGACAGCACTGCCAGTCGGAGAAGGCAGAAGAAGGAAAGGAGAAGAGAGGTTAGAGATGGGGGCGAATAGAACACTTCTATAGTGCAAAATGAACAGCAATCGTTTGAAAAAATGAAACTAATGTGAACAGAATTCCCGCCGCAGACGTCCCTGCGCCGCGTTTCGGCCACTTCTGCTGGCGGCCATCATCAGGGGACTCAGTAATGGGCTTTCGAAGTGATCAGCATACCCGAATAAATAGTAAAAGAAGCAACCTGTTTTCGTTATCCGGGAGGGCATCCAGGATCTAAAAATCTCCTTAGGTCCCAAGTCTCCAAGCCAGCTGTTTTTTTTTTTTTTTTTTTTTTTTTTTCCCTCCAAACCAGCTGTACGATCCATGCAAGCCCAGACTTCGAGGTGACTCGAGCGAGAAAACCAGTGCATCATAGCGCGCTTTCCGTCGGGGGAGTCAGAGAACGGAGGTCAGGCAACAGGAATAAGCGGGAGGGGAAATAGCAGGTAGGAGAAAGCATGGGTGAGAAGCGGGAAAGCATAGCAGTCTGTGAGAGGGGGCCAAGATACAGAGAGGCATAGGCAGACAATCATGGCTAGCGTGCGTGGAATGGGAGGCATAGGCAGACAATCATTAAAGGTCGGGTCTTCGAAGCAAGCTCAGAGAGGCATAGCCATGATTGTCTGCCTATGCCTCTCTGTATCTTGAAGGTCGGGTCTTCGAAGCAAGCTCGGGGGTAGGCAACTTTGGGAAACAATGGGTAGAAAAAGGGGTCCTGCAGATAAAGGACATATGGGATTCTGGTGAAGCAGATTGGCTTGCTCCATCGGAGCTGAAGATACGTCTTCCTAGACTCAGGAATGTAGTTAAAAACTATGCTGATTTGATAGAAGCAATTCCCAGTAGCTGGAGACTTTTGTTGAACGACTCTTCCGAACACGCCTGTGGTAGTTGGCTGTATACCTCGCCAAGTGAAGATAGGGTGGGGAAAGTGGTGGGACCAGAGCCGGGGGGTGGTATGAAGGAACTTAAGACCACGGGGTCGGGATCAGGTAATCTTCAGTCAATTGGTGAAAGTACAGTTAGTACCACAGTTGGTATGAGAGAAGCCCGAGTTTGGCCAAACAGTAAGTTAGGAGTACCCTCACACAGCCATGAGTCTCTTACGCTACTGAACAGAAGTGCAGACGAATACTTAATAGAGCCTTTGCTAACAGGGTGGAAACTCGAGAGCAACAGGAGTCAGATCCCGTTAATCAATTACAAGACTAAAGTGGGGGTCTTAGTACAACGGCAAAGGGCGAAGAGACAACCACTTCAGATGGCAACAGAGCGTTTTCAACANGTTCCCTCGTCTCACCATGCATGCACACTCTCTATCTACGAGAATCTACTTTGAATGCTACTCACTGATATCCTACTACTAACCCTTCTACTATTACTAACTCAAGCTGGCGCAGCTATGGCCTCTTCTGCAGCCAGCGCCCAACACTTCTTCCTTCTGGCGCAGCTCTCAAGCTAGCGCTCCTCCCCTGCACTATAGCGCACAAGTGCCACAACACTTCCATGCATCAATGCCAATGGAGAATCTGCCTTGTGGGAAGGCTGCCTCGTTTCTTATAGTGCTGGCCTCCCTTTGCGAGGTCTGAATTCAGTTTTTCTTGGGTCCTTTCCCAGTCCCAGGCCTCTGTGGAGTGCGTCCCAGTTCCTTATTAAGGTCTGCTGCTGCTGCGACCTTCAGGCCTGAATTTCGGACTTCCAATCTGTATTTAGACTTTCCCTTTGACTTGAATCTGGACTGGGACCTTATCTCTTTGACTTCTTGATGAACAGACACACCTACTGTTCGACAGGCACACTTACTGCACGAACAGACACATCTCCTGCACGAGCAGACACATCTCCTGTATGAACAGACATGACTTGCACACCCCCTGGATGAAAAGATGTGACTCCCACAATTGAATACTGCAACTGTTCGTCCAGGGGCACAACTGTGACCTTTGACATGACTTTTACTTTAGTTAGGATGTGACTTTTGTCCCAGAGAACATGTCCTTTGATCTGCTTTTCATGAGTTGGGCTCCGGACGAGTGACCCCATTATGCTGCATTCGTCATTCAGGGTCTGAATCGGGTAAAGGCCCTTTTAAGATCGACGAAAGGGAGAAAAAAGGTGATCGCCGAATCCTTGTCCGCCTCTTCTGCGACAGAGGAGGACAGCACCTCGACCTCCGAAGACTCATCTGACACAAACGACGAAGCCTTGAGGATCCCTCGACTACTCAAGGAGGAGAAAGAGAAGAAGAAAACGAGATCAAAGAAAGGGTTAAGCAAGCAGAAAGGTGTTAAGAAGACACCAGCAAGGATCTCCGAAAAGGGTGAATGCTCAAAGAGATCCGATACTACGGCCTCGCCTGAGGAGAAGAAGAACTAGTATGTGGAACCGAAGACTCCGCTAAGTCCGCTTACAGCCAGCTACAAGGGAATAGCCACCGGATGTTCCAAGGAAGGATTCACAGACTACACCATAGCGGTCATGGAGCAATTTTCTGCAAAGGAAGGTGTCCCAGCTCAACAAACTGTGCAGCAAGCAGCGTATCAAACCTGGTAGTAAGGAAGATATTGTGATGAAGCTGGTGAAGAAACATACGGATCTCGCCTATGAAGGCTTCTTCACCACAACGCTATCCAAGAAGATAACGCTATTGAACATTGGGAAGGAAAATGAGGAACGTAGTGAATCACCAACAGCAGTAATAGAGTCTACCGTGATCACGAGAGGAAAAGCTAGGAAGCTTGATAATCCAAGGTGGATGATTCTCCGATCAGCACATTGTCAAGCAGAAGAACAAAAAGGCACGCACCACGTCTCCAATTGACTTTCCAGCAGGTGGTGCTCCCCACCAATAGATCGGAGCTTAAAAAAAAAAAAAAAAACCAAAAAAAAAAACGTCTCCAATTGACTATCACCGCTCCCCACCATGGAGCTATGGAAGACCCCACGGACTTGCATGGCCGAGTGGGTAGCCCTGTGGGGGCAGGGCACTGGACGAGAAGAGGCTGTTGAACAACAGATTACTTCCACCATGATACTTCTTATGTGCGCCAAGAAGATGAAGTGGCTCACCAAGTACTATC